TTTTTATATAAAGTAACATCATGTCGCACATATTCACAAGCATTTGTTTTAAATTCTGGTTCTAAATGGCATGACCATTTGAGACAAATATATATGTAAATTGATGCAGATTGGTCTTTTGTAATTGTTGTCCTCGCTTCCACATAAAAAATAATTTTCTATTTGTCAATCATATGCATAAAAAAATGACAAGAAAATGGTATGAAAGCGCTTACACTTTTAATATAGAAAATAATAGTATGTATATTTGATGTGTCTTTTAACCATGCATGAATATTTAATATCAACTTCTATGCATATACAAATGTGCATTTGTATAACTAATTGATTTATTAATTAAAAAATAATTTTGTTTTTACAGGAGTTTCTAAAATTGGTAGTGGCAAAGCTAGTCCCCCTCCTGATATTTTACTTAAGGGTCTTAGGTGAGTAAAACTAAAATTTCAGATGTAATGCGGTTAATTTTGCTTTTCCTCAGTTTTGAAATAATGTTTACTAACTGTCATATTATGTACCAGATGCAGACCACCTTCCAGGATGTGACAATTGTGTTGCGTTTCCTAACTTCATGAAGGTTGGTCTGCGACAGATTTCAAAGTTGTGCTTTCATGAGCTAATATGTGTTAGATGGTGTGAATAGAGTGACCCCTCGATAAGTCGCAGGTGTCGGGATTCAGGCAAAAAAACATCTTCGCTAGCAAAGGTCTAAGTTTATTCGGCCAAGCCTCTAAACAGACCTTGGCAGAACGACCATCAAATATGCGTATTCTAACAGCGCCCCCAGTAGTCAGTTGCGGCTAATCATTGTCCAATCAGTTTGCGTGTTACAAATCCCTCTTTGGCGTTTCATTTTAAACAAAATGGCGGCGCCCATGAATCGTGATATTTGTGATGATAAAATTGTGAAAGTTTTCGGTGCTGGTGCCCTCAAGCCTCATCAGGTACAGGCAATCGACGCAGTTTTGTATGGGAAGGATGTCATCATAGCGACAAAAACAGGAAGTGTCAGGACTTATCAAAACAGACATACTGCATAACTTTCGCTTAGATATGATGTTCAATTGAAAACATTGGAAATAGGAATGATATATTATTTACCTTAAGGCGAATATGCAAATCATCTTTGTTAAAAATTACTGCAAATGTAATTATTCTGAACTGAATTTGTTGACTCAAAAGCATTGGTAAATCAAATTCAAACAGGCAAGAAAATCGAATGTAAAAATGATAGTGAATGTTTGAAAACACTGTTATAATGCAAGACATAGACTTCTTCTTTTTACTCATAATATTTTATTTAGCATTCAGAAAGAACATGCAACTGTTTCTTCCAAAAAAATGGTTGTCAAGTTGAAACCATGTAAGAATGCCAAAGTGTTAATTAATGGTAAAGAATTTACGACAGAAATGGAGCTTCATCACAATGACAGGTTGGTTTATGTATTCTAGTTTCAGTGATAATTAGCTCTAAGTACTAATATATCACATTTGCTTTTATCATGATAAAATGTATATGTAATGTTCTTCATGTGAAATTTTCATCCTGTGTCCTGACAACTTATTCTCTATCACTGTAAACACTGATCATCAGTAGTGTAGTGGTTGAGGTCACACCTATCATGGGTTAGTGTGACTCTGATTTGGGAGGAAGGTCAACACCACTAAAATACATTCACTAAATGCCTGATTGGACAAACTGTTTCCAGACTATTTGAAAACTTAAATTCTAATACATAAATATTTCTTATCTCAAATATTAAAAG